GTGAGTACCACAATATTAATTTTGTATAATAATATAGCTTTATCAATAAAATTTTAAAAGTATTCGTCTTTATTTTTAAGTATTGATGAAAATTCTGTGGTAGTTTTATTTTTAAACAGAATTTTTCGTGTATGGTAGTTTTCCATCGTCAGTGGTTTCGTATGGTCAGATTGGCTGCTTACATCACCCTGTGACCTCTGATATCTCACCTGCAAAACCTGAGTGTGTCAGTCGAGGGAATTATCACGTCAGTCAATGTAGAGGTGAACTGCCGGGAGAGGACAGACAGACAGGTGGAAAAACAGACAGACAACAGAATGACAGACGGAAAGACATACTCAGGCAAGAAACAGTGATACCAGTGATACAAAGAGTGTAAGAGGCGAGCAAACACAGATATGTAGACAAAGACACACACACACACAACACCACACACACACACAATTATATATATATATATATATATATTATATATATATATATATATTATATATATATATATATATATATATATTTATATATATATATATATATATATATATATATATATATATGTCGTGCCGAATAGGCAGAACTTGCGATCTTGGCTTAAATAGCAACGCTCATCTTGCCATATAGGACAAATGAAAATTTGTGTATGCAATAATTTCGCCAAAATCATTCTGAATCTAACGAAAAAAATATATTTCACTGTGTTTGTTTAGTATTAAATTATAGTAAACAAATCTAAAATATATTTAGTTGGGTTAGGCAAAAATAAATTGTTCTTGTTATAATAAGGTTAGGTAAGTTTTCTAAGATTCTTTTGGTGCAAAATTAAAAATTTTTACATTAGCATTAATGAAAAAAATATATCTTTAAATGTATAAAAGAAAATTTTAGAAAGGACTTAATTTTAAATGAGTTCTTGCTAATTGACCAGTTTTACATATTCGGCACGACATATATATATATATATATATAATAAATATATATATATTATATATATATTATATATATATATATATTTTATTATTATATATATTTTATATATATATTGTGTGTTGTGTGCGCGCGCGTGCGTGTGTATGTGTGTGACCAAGCACTGGCATATATTGCAGTGTATATTTACTAAATCTATTAAGAAAAAGCAAGTCTCTGAATATGTAAGAGGATATATGAAAAACTCAAGTGTTTAAAGAGGACATTAAATGTCGCTATAATGGACAGACATAAATAAAGAGAATCTTACGGCAGAGACAATGATCGCAGATTTAGCATATATTGAGCTTCTAAAATTATTATCTCTATTACGAAAATGTTCGGAAATTATAATATTCCTTGATTCATGTTTTTTGGAACTACCAGTTTTTTTTTTTTTTACTAAAATATAGGTAACGACAAAAAAAATCACTAATTTAGAATAGAAATGTCTACGTCTATAAACTTTAAGCAACTTTGCAAAGGTTAATATAATTAATGAGTGATATTAGTTTAAGTATTGCAAGAACATAACCAAAATATTAGATTATTGACGTACATAAAAATGGTATCACCAAAATGATGCCTTAAACTCAGTACAATATTTATTCTAACATTCACCGTCATCATCAACAAGAAAGTCATTAAGCGAAGTAGATCCTCGCAGATTTCCGATTCGGCTTCACCCTCTTGTTATGAAACTTTTTCTTGAGCACGATTACAATAAACAGTTTCTGTCCGTGATAATCTGTTGCAATGGGAAATAAACTAGGAACTACTTTACTTAATGCTTTCCTTGATTATTATGAGGTGACACTGAAGCTACGGTACGTAGGTGAGGGAGAGAGAGAGGAGAGAGAGAGAGAGAGAGAGAGAGAGAGATAGAACATTTTTTTAAAGCGAAAGCAGACTTCGTAAACTATACAGGTGAGTGGGATGTTGTTATTGTTCAATGTGTTAATAGACGAAGTTACAAGAAGAAGTAGATTATAAACTGCTAGGGATATGTGTGGTGGCCCTTAAATAACATGTAGCTGATGTAGAGTGAGAGTTGACAAAGTTGTTGTTTGCAGCTTAAACAGTATTTTTGAGAGATTCAGGAGAAAACTTACAGAAGTTGGAGGAGGGTCTTGGAAGAACGTAAAAGACAAGCTGAAAGTGAACACAGAAAAGAGCCGGGTGATGACACTAAGTTGACGTAAAGACGGTGAAAGGCCGGAGACAAGAATGAAAAAAAAATAGAGTATGGAGGAAAATAATGTATTTAGGTTTTTGGAAGTGAATAATGAGGTAAATTAAAGAATAGTCGAGAGTAAGAATATGTTGAGGAGCCTTCAGAAAGACCGAATTTTGCGACTGGAAGACAAGAAGAGACTGACACAGAGAATACCATTACCAGCCCTTTGGTATGCTTGTGAGGTATGTATATTGAATGTTGTCACAAGTAGGAGGCTGAAAGCATTTTAAGTGATGTTCGGCATGAATATTATGCAAAGTCTATGAAATCAGGGAATTATTAGACAAAATGGCGACAGGGATTTTCATATCGTAGACTGAAAAAAAGATTGCTGAATTCTTGAAGTCATCTGAAAAAAGGAAGCAGCAATTTGTGTCGATATGAAGGGTGTGAAATGTAGGTTTGATGTAAATAGGAGTAGGGGACGACCCAAGAAAGGTTGGAAGGAGGGCGTGGATGAGATTGGTCCAGACTCTACAGCTTGGGTGACAGGATATGTACACAGAGAGGTGTATTTCTCTCAGCGTATATACACTGAGAGTTTACTTTAATCCCTGTTTTAGGGATTACAGTAATCTCGTCTGGTTGCAGCCTTAATGACAACAGTGTAGTTGATAGGTTATAATCCCCATGAACCAGTTCTTAAGTTTCTATCAAGTATTCGCGTGTTAGAGTAAGTGTAGAAAAGTGGCTTTGAAATCTAGCTTTCTAATAGAGTGTAAGCATGGTAACCTATATTAAGGAATTCAGGGAATATTAACCTCACATATACTTCCTACTTTTCCCTATGGTACTTTCTTTTCAAAATTTTGACTGGAAAATCCGAAAGCGAAGAGTAGACCTGAAATGACGAGGAGGAAAAGGAGGAGCTGCACTGGAAATCAGGAAGAAAATAAAAAGATAGGATATTATGTTGAGAAGTGAAGGAGCAAGATAATGAGGAAATAACATCAACTTCAAAATCTGGAAATAAAAGTGGAAGATGATGAGGGATGCACTGGGAAATTTCGAAAGAAAATCTGGGAGGTGAGATGAAGGAGGTAGTGTCTTGCATGGTGCAGTGAGGGACTGTGAGAAGAGAGCAGTGCAAATGTTGCTGATACTGAGGTGAAGGCTCGTTTGTTGTGAGGGAGAGAGAGAGGAGGGTGATGGAGGGTCCAGGAAGGGTGATGGAGAGTGGTAGGAGGAAAAAAGGAAGGGGGTGATAGGAAGAAGAGCGTGAGAAACGGTGATTGAAGATTGGGAGGGGGTGATGAAGCGAAGGGGTAAGGCGAGGTGAAGGATGGGTGTCTGTATTGTATAAACACACACACACACACACACACACACACCAGAGACATAATCAATCCAGTGTATCGACAAAGTCCCTAGTGGACAATACGATTCCATAACAGTTACCTAATGTTGCATAAGTAATGTGATAGGGCGTAACGTTACAGGTTCACTATCTCTGGTAAAAATAGCTGTGTGCGCGCGCGCGCGCGCGCGCGCGCGTGTGTGTGTGTGTGTGTGTGTGTGTGTGTGTGTTGGAGTGGCAGCCACAGTCCACCATCGATCAACATAGACTAGTTGGGATATTCCTGATTATTTTAGTGTTTCCGTCTGATGTGACGTTGGCAGAGATAGGAAAAACTGGAACGTACAAGGCATGATAGTAGTAGTAGCAGTAATAGTAGTAGTAATGTTAGTAGTAGTAGAAGTAGTAATAGTTTTAGTAGTGGCATTATTATTATTAGTAGTAGTGGTAGTAGTAGTAGTAGTAGTAGTAGTAGTAGTAGAGGTGGTGCTAGTAGTAGCAGTCGTAGTAGTAGTAATAGCAATGGTAGCAGTAGGAGTAGCAATAGTAGTAGTAATGATAGTATTAGTTGTGAGGCTGGTATTAGTATTAGTAGTAGTAGTATTGACAGTAGTATTGGTAGTATCAGTAGCTGTAATAGCAGCAGTAGGAGTAGTAGTAGTAGAAGTAGTAGTAGAAGTAGTAGTAGCATTAGTAGTAGTAGTTGTGGTAGTAGTAGTTGTGGTAGTAGTAGAAGTAGTAGTAGAAGTAGTAGTAGCAGTAGTAGTAGTAGCAATAGTAGTAGTAGTAGTAGTAGTAGTAGTAGTAGTAGTAGTAGTAGTAGTAGTAGTAGTGATAGCAGTAGTAGTAGTAGTAGTAATGGAAATAGTAATGGTAGTAGTAGTAGTAGTGGTAGTAATGTTAGTACTATTGGTTGTAGGGACTGGTATTAGTATTAGCAGTAGGAGCATTAATAGCAATAGTGGTAGCAATAGTTAGTAGTAGTAGTAATAGGAGTAGTAGTAGTAGTAGTAATAGTAGTAATAGTACCAATAGTAATAGATGGTGTGAGGCAAGCGATGCCGTGGGGGTAGAAGATATGCGTAGATAAACGTAGGCGATAAATAAGCAGTGAGGGAGAGGTAGATGGAGGGGCCTCAGCCATCTTAAGAAGGCAGCTAGAAAGATGTTAAAATCAAGGAAGATGAAGTAGCAACTTAACCTACAGAAGATGGAGTATTTAAATGGTATAGCATCATGGGATAAACAAGATGGCGTACAGAGATGGAGTATGATCGTACTCTAAGAAAGATGGAGTAGCATCGTAGGCTAAGAAAGGTGGAGTATATAGATGGAATAGGATCATGAATGACGGGAGGGAGAAGCCGCGGTCGGTGGAGCTGGATTCGTCCCAGATATATACAGGGAATCTTTATGCTTTCTCGTTAGTTGTGTTGGCTATATTTTGTGCAGGAAGCAAGGAAGAGAGAGAGAGAGAGAGAGAGGGGAGAGAGAGAGAGAGAGAGA